CTGGTGATTCGCCCACCTCGACCTCCCAAAGTGCTAGCATTACAGGTGTGAGCCACCACGCCTGGCCACGTCAAAATACTTTTTAAGACAAACTTGTAATTGGCTTCTACAAAAGGGTTGTAAAAACTTGTTGATGAAGACATAGTCCTGGATGAAAGGTTCACTCAGCTGGGGGGTTATGTGTTTCAATGTGGCTCTTTAAGATCTAGAATGATTTTAATTTCACCTTTCCTTTGTTTCTGAGTGAAGTCATAATATATATTGAACGGTTAATTGTATTTTCTTGGGGGTACAGATAATAAGAATTTGATAGCAAAAAGTAGAAAGCCAGGACCCAGTGGCTCACGCCTGTAATCCCAGCACTTTGGGAGGCCGGGGTGGGCAGATCACAAGACCAGCCAGGCCAATACGGTGAAACTCCGTCTCTACTGAAAATAAAAAAATTAGCCAGACATGGTGGTGGGCGCCTGTAGTCCGAGCTACTCAGGAGGCTGAGGCAGAAGAATCGCTTGAACTTGGGAGGCGGAGGTTGCAGTGAGATCACGCCACTGCACTCCAGCCTGGGAGACAGAGGGAGACTGTCTTAAAAAAAATGTGTGTGTGGAAAGTTCTGTTCTGGGTCTCTTGTGACTCTTGTGACATTAGTATCTAATAGATTTCCTATAAATGATAGGAATGGTTTATCACACCATGACTCAAACCAAGAAAATCTCTGCAGCACTGCACATTTCAACTTCCAATTAACAATTAAAATCTAACAGCAACATCGTTGATAGAATTGACATCACAGGTCCTGCTTTTTATTTTTGCTGCTTATCTGATAATGATCTGGATTATTTCATATTTTGTCCTCTGCAGATTGTTTCTACAGACTTCTTTTGTGTAAATATTTAAAACAACTAACTAGGGTGATGAAAACCTGGTGCTTTCTAGAATTTTAACGCAAACAGCAGGGGCTTTGGATGTTTCACTTTGATTTCATTCTTTTTGCCAATTTAGTGTTTCTGGGTACAGGTACTGTCAAAATTCAAAGATACTATGAAAATGAAAAGCAAGTACTGTAAAAACGAGAGTGCATTTGAACTAAACCTTTAACTGAGAGATTGATTTGGAAACTCTCGGTTTCTTAATGTGATTTTCAACTTTGCTATTTCATCACAGACATATGACAGTACATTGATATTCTCGGTTTCAAAAATTATTTCCAACTTAAACTTCTCTAGGAAGAAAGACTGAAAAATGAGTTTGTGCACAAGCTTGATGCCAGATTATCATGTTTTATAGCAGAACATCATAAAGAACCCTTTTCACCCATTCTTGTCCGCCTATCCCAAGGCTGGTAGATTTTCAGACCAGTAGCAAAGAATGTTTATTTCACTTTCTAAAAGATACAATAGCATGTGGTGCCTAACAATAGTGCTTAGTGAAATAGGATTACAGTGTGTTCACAGATGCTATATGCTGAAGAGTTTTCCATTCTTGTGCATTGGATTTACATGATTTTCTCTACTGTTCTTTGCTTGTGTTTGTTTTTGTTTTTGCTTTTTTGAGATGAAATCTTGCTCTACCACCCAGGCTGGAGTGCAGTAGCTTTATGCAATCTAGGCTCACTGCAACTTCCACTTCCCAGTTCAAACGATTCTCCTGCCTCAGCCTCCTGAGTAGCTGAGACCACAGGCACATGCCATTATGCTCAGCTAATTTTTTTTTTTTTAATGGAAACAGGTTTTTACCATGTTGGCCAGGCTGGTCTCAAACTCATGGCCTCAAGTGATCCGCCATCCTTGGCCTCCAAAGTGTTGGGATTACAGGCATGAGCCACAACACCTGGCCTCGGCATCTGTTCACAATAATTTCAGAAAATTCCTGAAATAAATCTCCTGTGATTAATTTGAAGTTTCTTTGTAGCTGCTTCTTTCAAAAGAGAAATAAAATCTCTTCACCACTATCTTTTAAGTAAAGCTACAGAAATAAGAGCCTGAATATGAAATCCATCACCAATCTTGCTCAGTGGATTTAATGTGGGCAGTGGAGAATGTAGTAACTTTCCTAAAAACTGAAGTCATTTTTTTTTCTCGAGATAGCAGGATCTCTCTCTGTCACCTAGGCTTGAGTTCAGTGGTGTGATCGTGGCTCATTGCAATCTCCATCTCCCAGGTTGAAGCAATTCTCATGCCTCAGCTTCCCTGGTGGCTGGGACTACAGGCATGCACCACCACACCTGGCTAATTTTTGTATTTTTAGTAGAGATGGGGTCTTATCATGTTGGCCAGTCTGGTCTCCAATTCCTGGCCTCAAGTGATCTGCCTGCCTTGGCCTCCCAAAGTGCTGGGACTACAGGCGTGAGATACCGCGCCTGGCCTGAAGTCATTTTTTAACAAGGACTTCGTGTATAATTTAACATCTGGCAGCACGGACTACTAAAATACGTAACATTATAAATAATGGACTTCAAGCCTCTCTTTAATACCCACTGTCAGGTTCACATTTATATGGCTCGGTACTTGTAGCACACACGAAGTGGGAGCCAGCCCTGAAATCACTCTAGAAGCCTCCCTGGATCCATCTCCTCATTATAGAATCTCAGTGTGAACCCCAGTCATTGCTACTAATATACAACTCTCCCAGCACTCACGTCTCTGCAATTCTTAACCACTACATTTATTCTTGTCTCTCCCACACTTGGGCCCTATTTTTTTCCCTTCTCTGTTACTAGGATTTATCCAGCCACCTTCCTTAAGAACCAATTTTTTCCTCAATATCTTCTCCCTGACTGACCCTTTGCTAAATAACTTCTTGTACTTTTACCGTTAAAAAAAAAAAAAAAACCAGAAATCAAGACCTGTATATCCTTTTCTCCTCCTTTTTTTCTGATTTAAATGAATTAATTCATTTCTATTAATCTCGTATCAAAGTGCTCCATTCTCATCTGGTACAGTGGGTGGCTCACAATCCCAGCACTTTGGGAGGTCAAGGCGGGTGGATCACTCGAGATCAGGGGTTCGAGACCAACCTGGCCAACATGGCATAACCTTGTCTCTACTAAAAATACAAAAAATTAGCTGAGCATGGTGGTTCACACCTGTAATCCCAGCTACTCAGGAGACTGAGGCAGGAGAATCGCTTGAACCCAGGAGATGGAGGTTGCAGTGAGCCAAGATTGAGCCACTGCACTCCAGCCTGGGTGACAGAGCGAGCCTCCACTTCAAAACAAACAAACAAACAAAACAATAACAACACCACCACCAACAAAAAGTTCCCCATTCTCTACTAAGAAGGTATAGTGCAGTGACTAACATCAACTAGTCTGGGTCCCTCGGCCTGTCTTTGAACAAGGCACTTGTCTAACTCTGTTTTCTTGTCTGTAATTGGAGGGAAATAGCTCAAAAACATAAATAGTTTGCTTAAAAATGTAAACAAAATAAAATACGCTCATTACAAAACCTGGCAGCGTTGGCCCCGATAAACACCATCTATTATTATTATTAAATCTCTACTTTCCTTTGAACTGACATCTGTAGCGTCTGCCCATCTGCATACCTATTTGCTTTTTTCTCAGGATTCAGGATAAAATTAATTGACTAGACCATGTGGTATGGCTGTATTATCCCAACACTTTTAGCTGAGCATGGTGGTGCACGCCTTTTAGCTTGGGAGGCTGAGGTGGGAGGATCCTTTGAGCTCAGGAGTTTGAGACCAGGCTGGGCAACATAGCGAGAACTCCATCTCTACAAAAAATAAAAATATTAGCTGAGTGTGGTAGTGCACACCTGTAGTCCCAGCTGCTCAGGAGGCTGAGGCAGGAGGATCCCTCAAGCCCAGGAGTTCAAGGCTGCAGTGAGCTATGACTGCACCACTGTACTCCAGCCTGGGCAACAGAGCCATTTCAAAATAATAATAAAAACTGATTACACTGTGATATTGTTGGGGTTCAGAAAACAGTACCCCAAAATGAAGGCCTGAGAAGCAGCTCTCTCTAGCCTCATGTCCTCCTGCCTCTGGCTCTTCATTCTAGAAACTGGAATCCCTCTTTTCAAAGGTGATTCACAAAAGCCAGAATCCCATATCCCCAAAACCAAGCATAAAACCTAAAGAATAACTCTACTCATCCTCTGCCTTTCTGTGTCCAAACTGGCCTTAAAGAAATTCTTTGGCCTGCTTTGTTTGACTGTAGGTCATAAGACCCCCCACTCCAGAAAGGGTCCTACCTTATACCCAGAAGGAGGGAACACTGTACAGAAAAGCCAAAAAGAATCTAAACAGAGTTTGCTCACTCAATTGGCATTCGATCAGACCCATTTGGTCCAATCATAGTATCTATTAGATTGGTGCAGAAGTAATTGCAATTTTTGACATTAAAAACCGCAATTACTTTTGCACCAACCGAATACACGGTGGTCCATACTTTGTTGAACCTAAACATTAAAATGGACCGTTTCCCGGCTCCTTTGGGTTTTCATTCTGAAGGCTCCTGGATCACATAAAGCTACGATCAAGTATGTTTGTATGCCTTTTCTACTATGAAACTGCCTTTTGTCAGTAGATTTTCAGCAAACCTTTGTAGGATGGAGAGGTTTGTCCTTGGTCCCTACAATACCTAACGGTATGACTATTGTAGCAGCTGCTCCAAGCATCATGTTTTGCCAGCAGGCTCACACACACTAAGTTTATTTCAGTCACAGCAAGTACCAGGGCCAGCTATGGAATGTTCCCTTGTTCCAGGCTATTCTATGGAGAATTGGGACCTGGGGGAAATGCAAGTTTTCTTTCCCTTTAGGGTAGATCTCAAATTTTTTCCATTCGGGTTAGATGCCCTGAGGTTTTTTCCATTCAGCCAAACTAGAGAACAGTCAAGACAGCGCCTGCAGGCGGGCGTGGCTGGGCAGAGACCTGTGGGGCGCGGCCCTGGACCAGGTGGGGCGTGGAGAGGATTTGAAGGGCGTGGCCTAGAAAGAGATGGGGCGTGGCAAGGGCCCACGGGGCGTGTCCTAGGAATCCGTGTGAGCGTAGCCTCGGGACGGGGGCGGGGAGAAGACCAGAGGGCGAAGTGGGAGGGAACAGGCAAGACAGAAAAGGCCCGAGAAGTTGGCCTGACGGAAGGTCTCAGGGTAGAAGGCGGCGCGTTGTGACCCGAGGTAAGGCGCCTAGGAGTCAGAGCGGGAGCTGGAGCTGTGAGCCCAGCAGGAGGAGTTGCGCCCGACGGCGCGCTCTGCGCGGCCGCGGCTTGCTGCAGAGTTCCTCGCGAGATTCCTGCGGGAAGGAAGGATTTTTCTGGCCGCTGGCGCTGAGGCCCTGCCGCCTCTCCCAAGTGCTTGAGGGAAGTTGCAAAGAGCGCCGGTCCCGTGCGGCGCCAGCTCCCTGTGGCTCAGTGCAGTGCCTGGGGGGCCTCATCGGGTAGCTGTGCTGGGTGAGGGTGGTTGTTCCCTGCTAAGTCTCCTTTAATAATCTTTTTTTTTTTTTTTAATTCGGGGTTCTCGCTTTGCTACAGAGGAGGGAGTACATTTGGCGCTTTCACAGCTCACTGCAGCCTCGACCTCCTGGGTTCAAGCGAACCTCCTGCCTCAGCCTCCTGAATAGCTGCGACTACAGGCATGTGCCGCCATGCCCGGCTACTTTTTGTATTTTTTGTAGAGACTGGTTTCGAGCTCCTGGGCTCTATCTGCCTGTCTCGGCCTCCTAAAGTGCTGGCAGTCCAGGTCTATATTTTTTGACAGTAAAAGCTAATCACCAGGGGTCATATGTCTGAGTCCTGTGCACTCTCACTTAATCCACTCTGCAGCTCTGTGAAGGATTCTCGTGATACTGACAGAGCTTAGGTACAGAAAGGCTAAGCCACACTGCTGGAAAGTTTAGAGATGGAAAGAAAGTTTAGAGGTGGAGTCTTTCGGACTCCACAGCCTGTGCTGTTACCCTCTTAGACCACCCCATTCTTTGTACATCACAGGTCAGTGGGAACTAAAGGTATACTCTTACATAGTCAGTAAGAGGGGTTGCCGATTTAAATAATTTTGAACCCAGAATGAGTAGAGCCTAATTCAAATTCTGGTTCCAGCTCAGTGACTTTCAACAAGTTGCTTTTCTTTTGCTTTTTTTTTTTTTTTTAAGACTGGGTCTCACTCTGTCACCCACGCTGGAGTGCAGTGTTGCCATCACAGCTCGCTGCAACCTTCAGTTCCCCGGTTCAAGTGATCCTCCCAGCTCAGCCTCCTACAGATGCACACCACCAAGCCTGGCTAGTTTTTATTTTCTATTTTATTTTTTGTATTTTTGGTAGAGACGGGGTTTTGCCATTTTGCCCAGGCTGATGTCAAACTCCTGGGCTCAAGCATCTGCCTGCCTGGTCCTCGCAAAGTGCTAGGATTACAGGCATGAGACACTGCGCCTGGCCTGCCTGTCTTTTCTAGACACATTAAGGTAAGTGGTCTCAGGCCTGTAATCCTGGCACTTTGAGAGGCTGAGGCAGGTGGGTCACTTGAGGCCAGGACTTCGAGAACAGCCTGGCCAACATGAACCCCTTTCTCTACAAAAAATTAGCCGGGCATGGTGGCAGGTGCAACTATAATCCCAGCTACTGGAGAGGCAGGAGAATCGCTTGAACCTAGGAGGCAGAGGTGGCTGTGAGCTGAGGTTGCATCACTGCACTCCAGCCTGGGCAACAGAGCAAGACATTGTCTCAAAAAACAAACAAAAAAAAAGGTAAGTTGTCTCTAGGTCTCTAGTAGATCTAATAATCTGTGGATTTATGACGATAAGATTATGATTTTATCATTTAATGATACTTTGGGCTATTTTTTTTTCTTTTTTAATTGGGCAGCCCTCAAACCAGAATAGATTCAGAGGGTCTTCCTATTTTGGATCCAATTTGGTGCTGAAATTACAAGGTAGTCAGGAAGGGTCTGTGTATTCAGTTGAAAAATCAACAAATATGTATGTTAGAGGTCAGTGGGGGAGGATCCACCCGAAGCGTGGCTAGTGAGACAGGAGGAAAATCAGGACAGCGGCTATTTTGGAGGGACTTACTGAAAGATGAGTTTCACTGGGCAAATTTCCCCTTCTTGGTGAATAACAGAAGATACCTTAAATATGGCTGAAGTGAGAAGCATTTCTGAAAAAGAATGCAGTTTAATACACTTTGAAGTGTCAGTAAATTTTGAGCCAAATAGGATGGGAGAGCAAGAGAAGACAAAAATAGATCATTTAGAATCTGGAGAAGCACATGCCTGTGTACTCAGTGCCAGGGCTTGGCCATAGGGTCCCTGTGACTATTTTAAGTAGAGTAAGTGGCCCTGATGCCAGGGGTTTAGAGACTGCTCTTGGATTGAAGCTTAGAGACAAAACGATGAACTGTATTGCATGAAAGGAGCTTGGTAAATGTCCACCTTTGCTTCCATGTGCTCTAAAATGTTAATATAGGAGGAATGTTTATCCTCAAATATCTTCTTTTTGAAATATGTATTTATTCATTTATTTTTGTAGAGATGGGGTTCTGGTTTTGTTGCCCAGGCTGGTCTTGAACTCCTGGGCTCAAGTGATCCTCCCACCTCAGCCCACCAAAGTGTTGAGATTACGGGCATGAGCCATGGCACCTGCCAACTTCAAATCTATTAAATGCCTCAGTAAGCCATATCATAACAATACTGAGAATTTCTGATCAAGCTCTAGTCTGCTCAGTATCCCTGTGAATTTGACTGAGATAGTTGTTGAATATTTTTCATACATCAAATGTGGCTTCATTCTGTTTTCTTTAGCTGCTGTTTCAAGTGTATTTTCAGTGGTCCAGGTTTTCCTAATAAGCATTTTTTGTTGTTGCTTTTGGTGGCAAGGTCTCACTCTGTTGCCCAGATTGGAGTGCAGTGGTGCTATCTCTGCTCACTGCAACCTCGCCTCCTGGGTTTAAGAGATTCTCCTGTCTCTGCCTCCCGAGCAGCTGAAACTGCAAGCACACACTACCACGCCCAGCTACGTTTTTTTTGTATTTTAGATAGAGATGGGATTTCATCATGTTGATTAGGCTGGTCTCGAACTCCTGACCTCAGATGATCCGCCCACCTCATCCTCCCAAAGTGCTGGGATTACAGGCATGAGCCAGCACAGCCAGCCCTTAATAAGACTTTTATAACAAAAGGCTTCTCATTCATAGACATCCTCTCTTACTTAAAAAAGAAAAAAAATATCTAGTTCCATTTGGCATAAACCGGCTCTGTGGTTCTGCCTATTCTGTCGAAACAGTAACCACTGAGGAGAAATACCTCTGCCTGCTCAGCGTGGGAGCTGTGTTAGCTATTTTCCCTATCCCCTTCCAGGTAGGTATGTCCATGTGACTTGTTTGGCCAATGAAAGACAAGTGGAGTGACCTGTGTCACTTCCAGGTAAAAGCATGTGAAAAGCCAGTGAAAGATCTGTCACAATCACTTTCCCTCTACCACAGTGACCACCCAGATAGAGGCAGCGCTTTTAGTTCATGTCATAGAAAGAGGACAGTGAGCGGAGCCCCCTTCCATACTGTGTTAGACATATATGATGAGCTAGAAATAAACTTTTGTTGTGTTCAGACCCTGAGATTTGGGGATTTGTGTGTTACTGTGGCCTGCCTGGTCAAGCCTGCATAGTGAATATTATCAGCTAAGCCACGTGTTTGGGGATTTCTGGCTAAGGTTTACCAGACACCTTGGGAGCATCAGGGAGGGTGCTGAAAGAGGCTTGTCCTATGAATCATGCTCCTTATACTGTGTGAGAGTTGGCAGGTTTGCTGTTCCCATCATGCCCCAGTCCACTTTGTGATTTTAATCGAAAGGGGCAAAAACGGCATTTAGATGTTTAATTATATTCTGTAAGCGCAGACCGTGTTAAAGTGTAAAATACGTAAAGCCTCGGTGCGTGGAAGGGATAGGAATCAAGGCTTTCATTTTTACTTTGAAAAACACAATTTATATATTTTTAACAATTTTCAGTGCACTTCCAAGTTTTCCAATACAGAGGAATGTTCGTGGGTGAGCTGTGAAAAGATGATTCTTCCCAAATGCAGTTATCAGTGGATGCATTTCAGAAATTATTTGTCACTGAAGGACATTTGAAATGAATCATCCATACTTACCATTGACTAATACATTTTTTTTCAGGCAGTTTCAAGGAGTATTTTAAATATGATTTCCTGGCTATCTGATTTTGGGTCTGAGTATCAGACTTAGGTTTTGCTATGAATGTCCTAGGGCGATGTGTTCACTCTTTTATTCTGAGTTAAACAGAAGTGAAGCAGGGAGCATTGTGCTTTGGGCAGAGCTGTACTGCATTCTTAAGGGATGCTGGCTATAAATCCAGTCTCCCTAGAGGTTAGCAGTCAAAGTTCTCCCCCTCTCATACTCAGGCAAGTGATATGATGATGATAAATTGCTTGGACATGACTGCCCCAAGCACTAGTGTGATGAATTGTGTTGTTCAGGGCAGGACCGAAGATCTTCTGTTGTCAGTCTGCAATGCTAAGTATTGGCAGAATTCGTAAATAGCCTTTTGCCAGTGGTGGTCTCTGCTTTACATATTAAATTCTCTGTTTTCACAGGTTGTGGTTCGTAGTCATCTGTGTCCCCCACTGAATTCACTTACATAATCAGCCTTTCTTTTTTTTCTTCTGTTCCCTACTCCTTAAAAGGGTGGGATGTGCTCACTTGTATATAGTAAACGTTCAATTCTTTCTTCACAGAAACTGTTAAAATAGTAATTATTAGTTCTTTTCGTTAAATCAAAAGTAATATCAGCTTATCTTGCAGTGGCTTAACTGGGTAATTATTTGGCATTTGAAAAGCACTTTGAAGAGAATATGGGTAAATATTGTTAATTTCATGCTCTTTTGTGTACCTGAAATCCCATTGAGACCACAAAATTCTTGGTTTACTGTGTACCCACAAAATTTCTTCCGTGATGTGGCTTACTGTTTTCAAAATTATGTGTGTATTGATTTTTAAAAGTATTTTAAATATTTTCATAAACTCTCAAAGTTATCTCATGTTTATACCTTCCCAATTCTACATGTCTCATCTCCTACATTCCTTGTATACCTGAAAGGTTAAATGTTATCAGTCTTGCTCTCTAAAAGTTTGGAGCACAGATAAAGCCTGACCATGTAATTAAATAGTTGAAA